TAATGTAATTTGATAAAATGTTTTCTGTGGCTATAATTTGAAATAAAAGTTAATATGGATTTTAAGAACATAAAAAATTAGATTTATCTTAAATTCCAGTTACGTGCGTGGAAAATATTTATTTTTTATTCTAAAAATCAAAAGCTTTCACATCAATCACTGTAATGCGTAAAGTCTATGTTTGGCTTGGGTTTAATTTTAATTCTATTAATTACAGGATGCCAAGCAGGTGCCACCCAGCCTCCTTACTCTATTGAAATTAGGGTGTTTTTTAATTTCAGTAGCCTCACGTATCTATCATCACCCTTGGTGATCAATCGATGTTGTCGATGTAAAACTAGTTTTATTCAATTTGTAGTGTTCGCGTAAATACACGAAATCATTATAAAACACGTATTGTTAGTCTGTTTGTATGGTGGCTGTCTCCGTGTCACACTGAATTCTAGCCTGCCTCACAGCAGTAGGTATTAAGCCGCTATTTTCGCTGGTATTCTGTGAGATTCGTGCTACAACCGTTATAAAGCTACAGCGTGGCTCTACCACGTATAAATAAATACAAAGCGAAAATAAACGGCATGTAAGCCCACGCTAACACCACAATCGCGTTTCGCGTACGGACGGATGGGCGCTTTTAGCGAACGACAAGGCTTGGCTTATACGATAACTCGCTAATAACTTGAATAAATACACCGCGTACACCCTCTCCATTGAGTTGTTAGACCGTAATCACAGTAACGTTGAGAATATATAACGTATTACATGGCTATGACGCCGCATAAGGAATCTCAACACCCACAAGTAGTTAGGTGGGGGTTATGGTAGAGACGGAACGCTAACCGCTGAGAAGTTAATGCGAGGTGTGCAGAGGTTTTGTTCTGATCTGCTATATTGTGTGCAGTAGGTATCCATCTCCATTGCTCAGTAGAAGTCTTCTCTGCTCAGGGTCTACGCGCAACGTAAGCAGTGGAGCTCTATCATTTTTCATCAAATTTAGTGCTGTTGGAAAGACAGTCCAATACATAACTCTGTCCACTTTGAACCGATGTTCGCTCTGGATAAATTCCGCTAATCTCGCGCCTATCGAATTCACTTGCAACTCTAAACGCGGTATGCTTTGCATTTTGATTGGGGCGACCTTTGCTTTAGCCGCTGCCAGCTTGACCCTGACCTTACCGTGATAAACAATATGCCAATATGCCTGTACGCACGATCGCTAGCATCGTTGAAAATGTGAAGTTGCCTATTTTTAGCACTCCCTCGTAAGAACATAAAAATGAAAATTATCCACTGGAACATCACGTATCTCGTCGTTCCATCCAACCTTCTTCATCTGCCACAGATCTTGTAGTATAGTCCACTCAAGAGTCAAATAAATTAAACTTAAAAAAAAGTAAAAACTTACTTCATACATTATTTCTACATAATTTAATAGTGTATCGTGAAATAAAAGCCCAGACTTCAGTAGCTTAGCAGGTTGGCACCATCTTCAGAAGCTATTAAATTACATTTTAGTTTTTAACCGACTTCAAAAAGGAGGAGGTACTCAATTCAACGGTATTTTTCTTGTATGTTACCTCATTACTTTTTTCTAGGTGAACCGATTTTGATGATTCTTTTTCTGTTTGAAAACTGGTGCTTTTCATGTGGTCCCATTTAAATTATTTACCGCTTCATTAAGTAAAATTTTTCTTAATTAGCAATGAAAGTACTCAGTCCAAGACATTTCTAATTACATTAATAAGACTGCAATTTCAATTTTCCTTCTATAGACTAAATCTATTGCTTGAATTGTACAAGCCAATTAAGATTATTATACTAAATAAGGATCTTATGGCATCGTAATGATAATGCTTATCTTAAGTCGCACCACACATTACCTTAACGTTCGAGATCCAAGCGACTCTTGCACGATTAGTGTCACACCTCGGCCATTGGTGTTTCGATTTGTAGCACGTTAATATCGATAGCGTATTAGCATTATCTAGCTCGTAAAAACAACAACTAATCGTTGTTAATAAACATAAATGTTTAATAGTCAATTTATTTTGTAGTGCGTTCATCTTTATCCTTATTACCACCCGGCTGCCCCAGAAGCAGTAATGTTATTCGAGTGTCACAAAGCAAGATCCTGAACCACCTGCATCTATAGACTTCTTGCATGTCTTACCAGGTCGTCACTCCATCTAGTGGGGGTCCGCCTTACATTTTGCTTGTCGGTACGACGCTGCCATTCGAGAACCTTTCTTTCGCATCGCTTGTCGGTTGTCGGTTCTTCGATCTATATGGCCGGTTTATTCCCGTTGCATCTTTTCGCAGTCGGGTTTTTTAATTACCGTGTTAACAATTAGGTTTGTTATTAACTCGCTTTCGTGTATGTATGTTTGGGTGATATTTAGAAATTGATTTTAAAACAACTTATTGATCAGCTAAAGATTTGAAATTTTGAACATAGCTCGGTATCGGATGACAATCCACAACATTTCTTTCACATCGGTTGTCAGCACTAGCTATAATTAATTCCAAATTAAAAGCAAATATAATGACTTCGTGTGAAGAAGTAATTATCTATGTCAATGCCTAATGGTAATTTTAATAATTGATGTCAGTGTTGCACAGTAGTCGAAGTAGGGTAAAATTTTCCATCGATGCATGCGGCATGGGCCATTCATGCCACATGCCCCATAGAGTGGTTATTATGGCAAATGCTTTCTAAAATGGGCCTGCTACATCCAACACTGGACTGCTTACAGCTGATAAGAAAGAGAAAGTAAACGACGGTTGTATGATGATTTATTTCTTCATAGATCAACATACTTTAATAGTGCCCTGTACATAAATCAAAAATATTCTTGACATTTATACCTAACAGGCTTTTTATTTTTGAACCGCATTTTAATAGATTCTTATTCAGTTTTCTATGGGATGCATCTGATCTCATCTATCCACCATCAGATAACTAATAATTTTCCGGCTTTCTTTCCGTCCAATTAGAATCTGGATGTCTTTGAGGCAAGAGTGAATAGGCTTTCGTTAAGCCTTGCGATTAACAACCCAGGACTTCATAACCACTTACCACTAGGTAGGTTTATAGTCAAGCGCTAGCTTATATAATATAATATTTCGGCTTTTGTATATATTAATTAAGTATGCAGAAATAAAGATAAACATACATACATATTTTATATGGTACGTTATTAGTACATTTAAGGCATATTAATGTAGAGGTACCCAAAGAAGTTAAAGCAATTTTAATTTGAAAGTTACGTAAATAAACAAGTAATTCAATATTATGATATTTACAAGAACAGTATCTTGGTTGCCGACTGTACTTTAGATATAGTGCCAACATTCACAAATAATATTTTTTTTCTTCATGATTTCCTTTAACAAGTGAAAATAATTTTAAGTTAAAAGCACTTATCATTCATGTTCATACATGGACAGATACGGTCGTGTTTGTCAAACTGACCGTTATCTTTTTAAGTTGTTTTATTAAATTTATAAAAGTTTATGAGATCAATGCGTCGCTTTTATCAAATAACGCACGAAATACATTTAATTGCATTAGTATGTACTTCGGACAAAAACTTATAGAAACTATCGTAATTATTAAACTGAGGAGGTTTTTAAAGACAAAGTATGTCTTTAATATATTTATTAAGGAACCAGCAGCACGTTACAAATATAAATAACAGGTTCTTACTTTATCTTACAGTATCTCAAAAATACAAAAGAGAGGTAATAAATAGTTACAATAAACAATTAGCGGGGAAAAAGTAAAATTATAATTAGTAAACAGTTAAAACTTGTGTATATATTATAAGTTGTCAGTAAAATAGTGGCGTAGCAACGTCTTGCTACCCTCCCGCCGGCAAGCAACCAGAACCAATAATGCTGCACCGGGTGGTAGCATTCAGGGACGTCTATTGTCGAGATGTTGGTGTTGCTAGCCTATGCTGCTCTTACAGCTTACCTGACGCAGGACTCAGGCCGCGAGTCCTGTTTAAAGGGCTATTTAAAAAAGGGAAAGGCGGCAATGAGGATGGGGATGAGAATCGGAATTCATGAAGCGACATTTTGGGAAACAAAATTCAGCTCCGTTGCCATGACTTTTCAGATGATGCAAGTGAAACTTTCAAAATATTCAATAAATTGTTTTTACTGAATTCTTTCAATTGAAATATAATAAATAGAAACTGTAGAACATTAAAAGTCAGAATTTAAACTCAGTCTCGAAAGAAGTCAGAATGTGTAGATTTATTTTTAGGCCATACAAATACTTGTTCCGTGCAGGATTCGAACCCGAGAGATAATCTGTAAGCGATGTTATTATTCATTTTATGTCAGGGATAAGTCAAAAAATAAATAATAATATCGTTTGATTCATTTTCAAGTAATGTAGACTAGATTAATGCAATTTTAAGTGCCGATTTACCACGTGCTCGTGGAAAACAGCGTGACGAAACCGGCATGTGTGAGAAACTAAAAAACTATTACAAAGACTACTAAAATCCAACACGCATTTGGGCAACGCGGCGGACAAACGACTTTACTAATTTTCTATTTTTAAGACACTTGGCAATATGAGAAGGGGGGGGGGGGGGGGGAGGATTTACACGTGCGTCGTATAAATTACTATACTATAACATTAACAATCTTTAAGGCAGTTCAATTAAAGCCTTGAAATCACCTGCCTAATGCGAATGCAATGCAGTTACACTTCGCTTTAGGAATTAGGTATTTAAATCCTTCTCTACGTAGCGCCGCCGTCATCAAAAATCGATTTGAACAAAAGCCTCTTCCGAAACCATTATGAAAACCAAACAAAAGCAAAACAAATTTCAATCGAAATAATTTCCCCCTTCATTTATCGTTTAGGGTTGTCAAATGCGTAATATATAAATGGCTTTTCACATTCTCGATAAAACCTTTATTTAAACTGTAAGACAAAATCTAGTTAGTTTAAATTAAGTCTCGAATGCTGAGTTAATTCCAGCCAATTATAATATATGTGCCAAGATGAAATTCCAATGAAAATGAATATGATCATATCTGAGTATCTGAAATCGCAAAATTTAAGTATAGTTACAGCGAGTAAGTGAACGCTTTTTAGATGGCATTCTTATGTCACCCTGAACTTATAGTATACTTTAGTGAATTCAAAAAGATAAAAAATAAACTTTGAAAAAATCCTAATGAAATTCCAGTGCTTCAATTTTTCCAAAGATTTTTTTTACTATTTGTAAGTACAATTCAAATTTAATAATTTATTATGTTTACGCGGAGACATAATTAATTTCTTAAATTAATAAAATTAAACCCCAACCCAAGCATATCATTGCAAGACTTCAAGATAAATACTATAATTTCTTTCTACGTATTTGGACCACAATTTAATACTTAAAACTGAAAGGAGCCGTAGATAACTATGAAATTGAAACACCAAATACCTCATAACCCGGTGACCAAGAGTGCTGCAATGTACTCGGAGTATCGGGTTTATAAATTAAGTTTGTGAAACGCGATAAAATCCGTGAAAAAATAATTTCATTAAATCCGACTTTATTAAGAAAGTAAAGATATCTATCTCATTATAAACGATTAGAAAACATAGGTAATAGATATATAAATTATTGTAATATAAGAAAACAAAGGTAATACTCGTAGATATATAAATTATTGTAATATAATTTTTATGTAAAATATCTCTGTTCAAAAAACAATAGGAAACCAAGCAGGATTTATATAAATTTTTGCTTATTTTATTTTTTATTGAAAAGCAGCATCCCTACGTTCGAAGAAGTTTAGCCTCAAGCGCCTCGTATGCGCGAGATTTATCGCTCTTTCTTTTGTTTACACAAGCATCCGATACGAAAATTTGCAAATATATTCATATGGTTTGTGGGATTGTGGGTGTCAAGAACTAAATCGATATATTGTGTATATAACGTTTAATAGTTTAACACTCGGCGACTTATTTATTTTATCAATTTTAATACTATAGTATAGTCGCTCATTTTTCTAGCAATAAAGCCTGTTCAACAAGTTCATCTTTAAATAGCGTAAATTATTTATGTGGATTTACTTTAGAACGATAATATTTTTCATATAAAATAAGAGTGCCAAACGAGCACACCCACCACCTGAGAGTTAATGTATGTTGTAGCCCATAGACATCCATATCTGTCCCCGATTAATAATAATGCAGATGCGTTGACACCCCTGAGGACTAAGAATGCCTCGTTTCCAGTAGATAGGGTCTCCGGTTCTCTACACTCACAATACGTGGTCCTTCTCCGGTCGAGCCGTCCCGTTAGTGCTACAAGTATATTACTAAAGCATGACTCTACCACGTATAACAAACAGGACTCTACTGGGTATAACTAGAAGGGCCTATATTTTTACACACACACAGTATATATAATATTTTTACACACACTTTGCTAAAATCTAAAATACAAGCAATTGTATTATGTAATAACTTTTTAATAAAAAAAAATAACACCATTTTATTATTACAAATTCCGCGCGAAGTTACAAAATGGCGGCGTGAGTGAACAACCAGCGCGCGTCACGGCGCCCGCCATCACTCACAATGTTTATTTTTCAATTGAACCCGTCAGCGGCCAGTGCGGCCCGCCCTCGGCACTGACTTAGGACCACCACACACGATGTCGACAGATTATGCAGTACACCAGGCTGTTAAATTTAACTTCACTAGTGTTGCTCACATGCCTTCCATTTTTGAAATGCTGTCAAAAATTTGTGATTTCGATTGTTAAACATTCAAACCAATATCTGATTCTTTGACTCATCTGCAGAAAAGTGCTAAGTAATAACTATTAAGATTAACAGCCAGCCTTAATAAATGAGGTCTAATAATTTTTTCCTCACCAGATATCGCTAGTTGAAACTGAGGTAAAGTTTTTTGTTACACAATGTAAGTTAATTTAGAAGTTGTTTTTTAATAAAAGTTTATCAGTGTTTAGGAGTATTATACATATTAATACTTACATTTTCCGAACAAATGAACTTTCCCGATATAAAACCTGTCAAATATTATACCTAACTTTCTAGTGGCGCCGTCCTGGTGGCAGAAAAAGTCGTGGATGCCCTCATTGCTGGATCATCATTTAGAAGATGTGTCTAATACTCACTAAGTAGGGTTAGTACGCGTAGAGTCGATAGACGTGTGATAGAATAGGTACATAAATGTGGCTTTATTGTCTTTGGTGCATATACCATATTTAAATGTGGAATTTATATATAAAAAAGGAAGCGTATTACTACTCAAGTATTAAAATATAATTGTCAGTTTCTAAAAGTGGTTGTATTCACCATTTACTAAATGCCGCTTGGTAAGTTACCACTGTCTTTTATTAGAAAGGTAACCAAACGGGAGCATCAGTCTACGTGTGCAAGGAAGAAGTAGTTAAAGAGCTAAGTTGATGTTGCTGTTGATCTATTATGGAGTTATCTTGTACTTCTTCTAACAGCTTACTGTGTTCCATAAATGATTTATAACGCAAAGTCGTTGCCGAGAAATATTTCTTTCAGATAAATATAAATAACTTCGAGACTATTTTCTAACACGTGCAATGACGATACTGCTACCCAACACCAGTCCTCGTGATAGGTTCGGCGTTTTCGAATGAAAATACTACCATTTTTTAATTGCCTTACACCTCAGCTAGGACTAGGATATTAAATTATTAGAAAAATAGGACTATAATAAACAAATGTTACCATTCCTTGAATTTATGAAGAAATCAGACTCAACATTCCAGTTGCTTGTGCATACACGATTTAGCACTTGATTTGTTATGCTTTAAGTCATTGTGATTGATTAATAATAAAAATAGAGATGAATGTACAACAAAACGTGCTTTCTAACAGTTAAACTGATATATTTATATTGCAATATGCAATGCTGTGTCACCTATAAGGGTGCACACATCAGTCCCTAAAATCAAACTTAATTAGCACAAAAACGTAACACCGTGTTATCTGCTGGTATCCTACGAATAAATAAATAAATTAGATAGATATGAAACATAATTGGAAGAGTCACACTGAAGCTATATTATGGCTGCAGCATGAATTGCGGCAATTAATGTTGCAGCAGTACTGAGACTTGAAAAGAAAACGACTGAAAAAGAATACCAGAATAATACATGGCTAGTGATAAAAATGGAAACCCTTTCCAATGGCACCGAACCATTCCATTTTAGTCGTGAATCGAATATAAAATTAGTTATCTATGACCACAGCATCCATTTGCTATCAAGTAGACTGTGTGCTCTTTGTTAACTGTATTGTTGTATTTTTTTATAATGTTACGATATTGTGAGAAATGTTATTTTATCATTTAATAGTGCATTCATTAAAGTATTTTTATAGTGTTCACAAGTTTAGGAAAATACATTTATAAAAATTCATCAATAACCATTACCAACCCTACAAATGAGCACAGCGTTCGTGCGAGGCGTCGAGAACCTACAATTAGGCGGGCCAAAAAGGCCAACGAGACGCGCTAATACGCACTTCGCTAACTAGTTATACGCCTTACAAACTTAACCTGCAATCAGATTAATACAAAATGAACTTTATAACATTGCATAACAGTTTATAATAACAGCAATGCAAAGATTGAGGGTAGAAAGTACCACTAAGTAAAGTCAGTGTTCCATTTGCACGTTATGCATAAAGAATAAGGCTTTATTTACAAGACGTTAGAGGTTATGCCAGCGAACAACACTGCAGGTTACGAGAAAATAATTGTTCTTTATTGTTTATTGGCACAGGCGATCTCCAAGAATTACGGTGTAGGTTTATATCTTCAAAAATTGCGGGAGAAAATTGATTTTCGCAAAGTAAATTATCAAGATAAGCTTATAAAGCCAGAGTACAATTTAAATGTTCATATTAGGCGTTTTAACGAAATTAAATCTGTTGTTGAAAATGGTTTGAAACTGTAGTGTTGTGAAAAATTTAACGAGTGAAGAAAATTAAGATTTTAAAATTAAATATGAATTTATAGACTTTCTTTTCCAAAACAATCAAAACTATTTTATTACACAACTTTGAAATATTAACAAACAGTATATTATCGTACAATAGTAATAATTACGTAGATACGAGGATTTTTGCCATTCACCAAATAATTACCAGCCAGTGAACACTAAGAAATATTAAAGTAACAGAAATATTTAAAAAAAAAAACTCGTTACTCGGTCATCTAATTGTGAATTCAAGCACGAATCCCCGTCGGCTCACACCTCGTTTCTAAGAACGCGCCAGCGATGTATAACTTAGTTTAACACAAAATGTGGTTGGACTGCGTGGACATCGCAGCAACTTTGTCACTGGTGGCATTATTCAAGAATTCTGCGGAGTGATGGCGACAGGAATTATAATGTAAGATGTATGCAGGCAAGTCATATCACGTGTTAACTGAGGTTACATGGTAAAATATTACACGAATATATCGTTATTCACTGAGTTACTAACACTTAAGAATCACAATCGTCATTTTCAGCTCAATACACCTGTAAGGTCCCTAGTTGAAATAATCATAGCAAATAAAAGCTTGCAGAATACCATATTCTGCAAGTGGTTGGAATGCCAGATTACTAGGGTAACTGAGGTATACTATAAACTTTTAACTTAAAAAAAAAACTTTAAAACAATTTAGTTCGTAATACTGAAATCAACAATTAGTGTGACAAAGAGACAACAATTACGAAATCCAGTGTGCTGAATTTAATAATTGTTTTAAATAGTACTAAAGTCATTGAGTTCATTTTGTTATTAATAAAACCACACAATACCAGCGTAAAATAGCAGCTTAACACTGCTGTGTTTCCTATGGTGAGTGTAGAGAACCGGAGACCTTTTTTACTGGAAAAGAGGCATTCCATCTTAGCCCTCACGGGTGACAACGCATCTGCATTTTGATTCTTTATTGAGGATAAATGTAGATGTTTATGGGGCACAACAACCACTTACCATCAGGTGGACTCTGTAGTCGTTTGTTACCCTATCCTATTAAAAAATTTTG